ATGCCTTTTATTTTTTCTTCTTGTCTGATTGCTGTGGCTAGGACTTCTAGTACTATGTTGAATAAGAGTGGTGAAAGCGGACACCCCTGTCTTGTTTCTGATCTTGAGGAAAGCTCTTTAATTTTTGCCTATTAAGTATGATGTTGGCTGTAGGTCTGTCATATATGGCCTTTATTACATTCAGGTATAATCCCTCTATTCCCACTTTAGTGAGAGTTTTATCATGAATGGGTGCTGGGTTTTGTCAAATGCTTTTTCTGCATCTATTGATATGATCATGTGACTTTTATCCTTCATTTTGTTTATACAATGTATCACATTTATTGATTTGTCAATATTGTATTAGCCTTGTATCCCTGGAATAAATCTCACTTAAGGTATATGATCTTTTTAATGTATTGCCGAATCCTATTTCTAATATTTTGTTGAGGATTTTAGCGTCTATGTTCATCAGGGATATTGGCCTATAATTTTCTTTCTTTGTAGTGTCTTTGTCTGGTTTGGGTATTAGAATAATGTTGGCTTCACAAAAGAACTTGTAAGTGGTGCAGTCTCCTTGATCTCCTTAGCTGGGTGCTCTAGGAATGTCTCTGGTGTAGGCTATTTGGGCCCTCCTGTTGTAATTGGGTCTTGATTGATGTTGACCCATTCATGGGTGGGATTGACCTTCAAGCTGGCTGAATATGAGGCTCATGCAAACTGCTGTGCAGGTCGTCTTGAGGTGTCTTGATGGGCTCAGTGGCACAATCGTTAACCCTCAGGCTGGGTATCTGTCGAGGTAAACCTTGATCACCGTGTATGAGATGCTATTCAGGGGCTGCCCCTTAAGGTGGGATTGTTCCCAGCAAGATCTGGAGACTGCTGGGATCCCCCTCTGGGTGTCTAATTGGGTCGAGGTCTGGTGTGGTTCGAAGCCCACCACTGGTTGTGTTGGTTCTGGGTACTCCTGGGTAGGTTTCAGATGCAGGTGCTGTCAGATGTTGTGTGTAACTGGCCTTGGGCTACCTGTCTCTATCTACCACTCTGTTCACTGTGTATTCATTGACCGGACCTGTGTGAGAGTGGGAGGGGCCAACCTGTGTAAATAGTTCGGCTTCTTCCAGCTTAGACTTGGGAGCCATCCTTGGTCAGACTGAGGCTCTCTGAGGTCCACCTCCACTTGTCAGTTATTCTTCCTTCCCTCTGAGGTTGCCTGGTCTTCCTCCAGTGCCTTCCATAGAGAGTCTGTAGCCTAGCTCAGGCTAGTGGGCCCTCTGCTTGGGGCTTATGGAGTGAGGCACTCAATGAGGGGAAATTAGCCTCTGCTTCAAAGCTAAACTCCTCAGTCTCTGCCAGAGTCCTCAACTCTAGTTCCCCCTAAGGAGTCTCACTACAGGTTCAGGTTGGGTACAGTCTGCAGTCTCCTCTGCAGTACCAGGTTTAGCCTCTAGAGTCTCCTGCTGAGAATGTCAGGGGCCCAGCCTGCAGGCGGGGGCTAAGCTTTTCTTCCGGTTCCTGAGGGTCTCACACTTTGAATGACCTGTTCTGAGCTGCTCTCCCATCCCCCACAGAACTGTACCCAGTATGGACATCCAGGACTTCACAGGGCTGAACCAAATAGTCTCCTATTGGGGGTGGTGTCTGCAGCCTGCAGGAGGGGTGGGGGAACGGGCACTGCCTCTTCCTGGGTCTGTGCAGCTAAACTGTCTCCCCATGATGCAGTCACAGAGCTCACCACTTGCCTGTTTGTCTCCCTGACAGAAGCCTCCCCAGGAGACACAGTCTAAAAATCCGAGCTCCTCTGTGCCACCAAACCAAGCAGGAGGGGCCAGAAAATCAGCCTGTTGCAGGACTCCGATCTCTCTGCACATCTGCTCTCAGAAAAGTGGGGCAGAAATTTCCAGCTCTGCTCAGGCTCCGAACCCTGCAGTGTGAGCCAAAAATCCCAAACCTGTGTTGCTTCACTCTTCCACCAGCCCAGCAGGCTGGGGCTGACCGGGTGGCTCCTCGGGTGGATGAGGGGCTCTGACTGTGTGCTCACTGTGGGAGAGACTGTTCCTTTTTCCCCAAGCCACACAGATTAGTCACTGACTGGGGCTGTGCCCAATGCCTTTCCAGAAAGTAAAGTGTCACTCAAAGTCTCTGCAGGGTGCAGCCCACAGACCCCTCTGCTGGACCCAAACACCGCTGCGCAGCCTCTCCAGCAGTCAGAGTCTGGAGCAGACTTCTCTGCCTGGGCTGCTAACAATAGATGCAGTCCGAGTCGCCCAGGTAGACAGAATCCCCCTGAATCCCTCTGCCTAGTGCTACACAGGCTCTTCTTCCCGTTTCTGTTGCTCTGGGTTGGAGATCCCTGTGTGGGATTGAGATCCCACATTCCCAGGGGGAGGGAGCTTCGCAGCTGCAATACTTCTCCAGCCTGTCAGCCTCTCCAAGGTGGACTTTCCCTTTCTGCATCTTCACTCCCCTTACCAGTTTCTACATGGCTTCTTCAGTGCTACTTAGACATAATATTTCAGATCGGCTACACTTCAATTGGTTTTTCAAGTTGATTGCTCTGTAGTTTAGCGGTAAATCTCGTCTGTGGCTGGCAGCAAGTGCATGCATCCTTCACCTACTCTGCAGCCATCTTTCACCTCCCTGGTGGTGTTTTTGATCACTCCTCTCCCCAAAGGGAAAAGAAAGCCCCTGGAATCTGTAATATACATACAGAGTAGAATGTGTGTAGATGTACACCCACGTCTGTCTATGGGAGCATGGTCTTGAACCAGCAGCAATGGCATCCCTGGGATCTGTTGGAGGTGAAATGCCCAGGCCCACCCAGACCTACTCACTCAGACTTCTGGTAGTTGTGGGGCTCATAACGTGTGTGGTAAGAAGCCCTTTGGGGGTTCCAGGGGATTCAGAAGTGCTGATTTAGTCCCCCAAGAGAACTTCTTGAGGAACAAAGTCATGAAGACAGGAAGAGGTCTGTCCTCTCCCTGGGCATGGGGCCATCCTGGTGCCATTTAGACTCCATTACTGTCCTTTAGCTTAAGGACTTGAGTGGTCTGTCCACCATCCAGAGCTGTGGTGCTTCTCTGCTCTCTGCTCTGGGTTACGCTGCATGTATACAAATATGAACAGGACATCTGCCCCCTGCCCATAGAGGGACAGCAAGTGCAAACGGCTCAGGTGAGTTAGAGGTCCAAGGGATGTGAAGTGCTCACAGAGTGAGAATGTGTGGGTCGAGACCTGCAGGAGGGTGGGCAACAGGTGAGGACAGCAGTGGGGAGAGTGGGACAGTGTGCCCCAGACAGGAAGAAATCATGTAAAAATTCTGAGGCAGGAAGGTGCTCACCAGAATCGGCACTGCCAGTAGGGAGAGGTCAATCAGGGCCTTGGCGGCCACTTGCACCTCCCATATGCAAGGAAGGTGCCTAGGGACACTGTACTGGGGCTCAGTGCTGACCTGCCTGAATTCCTGCTATTTGTCAGCCCTGGGAAGAGATGGACACAGGGTTGATCTTGCTGGCTATCCAGTATCCTGGGTGCAGTCCATCATGGGGCAAGTCTCCCCTCTACCTTCTGCGCCTCTGCTCTCCTGCTTGGCGTAAACCAGGCACAGGATGCCTTGCTTGGCTCTGTGGCACTGAGGGTCTAAGTTTGAAGTTGGGCAGTCATGTGTTGGCACCTTGGCTGCTATGGGAGCAGGCCATGTAGGTAGATGAGCCCCAGGTATGGTGTTGTGCTTTGACGCCCTTCCTATTGCTTCCTGGATATGCCTTGGGCAGGTCACTAGACTGCGTGTAGACTGTTTCCTAAGCTGTACCTGAGCTGGCCACTTTCCAGGGTGACTCAGAAGGTCCAACTNGGCAGGTCACTAGACTGCGTGTAGACTGTTTCCTAAGCTGTACCTGAGCTGGCCACTTTCCAGGGTGACTCAGAAGGTCCCAGGGTGGGAGAAGGTGTGTTGGGGCAGTTTCTCAGATAAGAGTGCACACCTGTCACCTGGAGTCTTCTCAGGGCTGATCTGGGGTGGGGTTGAGGGTTTGCACCTGTGCCCCAGTGATGCCTGGCGCAGCCAGGGTCCAAAAAACGCTCGTGTACATATGGAAGCAACGCCCTGCTGCTGGACTCCTCTTCAGTGCACAGCTTTAACTCACCCTGCTTCTCCTCCAACCCCTTCTCAGTATCTGTCCTCAGCTTCAAGTTGCTGGGCACTCTTTGTCGTGACCTGCTTCAGGTTACTGCTTCTCGTTCCATCAATTAGGGCCAGGCAACCGTGAGGGGACATTTCCCCTGCTGAGAGGTGAGCAATGAAAGCCTGGCTTTGAAGGCTGTTGTTAACAGCCACAGCTAAGCTCCCCTAGAACAGGATGTTGGCAAATGAGCATGATTCTACTAATCTTCACATTTACTGTCAACCAGCAGAACTGACCTTCCTTTTTTCTGGGCAGTCATGTGACCTGAGTTTGGGCAATAGAGGGGGAGGGGAGCAGAGCCTTCCAGAAAACCAGGATTGTATTTCCCCATCATTGCAACACTCCTTGGAGGAGAGGCTGGTTTTAGGGTGCTGACTGGACGCCTGAGGAGGAATGTGGCTCTTTGACCTGGACTGTGTCTCTATCACACACGAGAGCTCCTTGCATGAACCTTGCATTGAATCAGGAACAGCCTATTTGCATGAACTGTGGTGCCCAGCCCCAGCTGCACATTAGCACCAGCCAGGGAGCCTTGAAAACCACAGGGTCAATTGGGTCAGGGGCCCTGGGGATGGCCCAGACAACACCAGTGTGTGGGTGAGATTAGGACTACTGGTATGAAGTGCCTGCTTCAGATTGTTCACAGGTGATCACCCTATACCTGTGAGATCATGTCTCTGACAATCACCCTACTTGCAAGGAAGTAGAAACCTCACCTTTGATGAGGGAAGGGTCTACCTCGTCAGAGAGTAGTGCAAGTCCCAGCAAACCAGTCCCTCCCCCGAGTTGGACTCTAAAAAAAACAAGTTTAATGTTTGTTAACCTCTTTTTGTGCAGTCAACTGCTTGGATCAGCATGTTCAGAAGTCCCCGGAGAGTGTTGCTTTGATTTGGGAGCGAGACGAACCCGGAACTGAAGTGAAGATCACCTACAGGTACCGTGTGTCCCCTGACGGCAGGCATCTCAGTGCCCCACTGGGTCTCCTGGGCCACTGGATCTCTGCTGTAGATGCTGGTACCAGACACCTCTGCTGGACTGTTTTCCAGGAGCAGGACTGCCCAGTGTGGAGGAGGCCTGGCTTTCTTGTTCACTTGGCAGTCCTTATTGTCTTCAGATTCCATAGAAGGAACTGGTTCTTTGGAAGCAACTATGAGGAATGTTCAAGGCATGGGGGGGCTGTTGGCACAGCCCTGTGAGTGTGTGTCTGGTCCTGGGCGGGTATCCTGGTTTTCTAAGTATCAAGGAGCATTGGGAATGTTCTCTCATCCCAGGAAAAGTACGCATGAATGCAACCTGAATAAACTACACGCTGGCGTAATTAAAATCAACCCACCTGGCCTCTTACTCTTAGTGCACTCACAAGAGTGGGACCAAAACCAAAATCAAGTCTTTTAAAGACCTGGCTTTTATATTCTTTGATTCCTTAAATTCTTCACATATTCTAAGTTCCAAGCACCCTTCTGAATAATGTGTGTGTGCTGAGGGGTTTGGATAAACCCACTGTCTAGGAATAGTAACTGGCCTCCTGAAAGGGCCACCTCCTGTGGGGATGGCTTTGCTTGGGGTGCCTTTGGCCCGTCCCTGCTGGGCACTGGGTCTCCTCTCCCAGGGGTAAACCTCCCTTTGCTACAGCCCAGTACCCCTTGCAGTACAACCTCAGACCCACTGTGAGCCTAGGTTGTGGGTCCTTGGTCACCATCCGCACTCCCCATCGAGGAGTCATGAGCAAGATTATGCTCCTGGTGGGTGCCTTACAGCTTTTCTTGTGCAATCATTTAACAAGTTTCATTGCGTGCCCCTGTATCAAACAATCCCCAGACACATCGCTGTGTGGCTAGGTGTGTCCGAGGAGGTGACATTTAAGCTGAGGTCCTATTAATATGAAGCAGCAGCAGTTAGAGGATGGGGAGAGAACTTCCCAGGCCAGTTCTGAACCCTGAGGGGCCTTACTGAGAGCAGGCTCCCTGGGAACAGAGAGAAGGGGCTTGTGGCTGGGCCATGGGAGTGAGGGAATGTAGGAGGGGAAATGTTCAGAGAAGCAGCTCCAGACCCAGGGGCCGGAGAACAGCACTTCCTCCCTGCCACTGGGGTGACTGGGGGGCTACTGTGCACCCCTAGTTTCCTGTTTGTTTCTCCAACTTGGGATTCTCACCAAAGATGGTAAAATTCACCAAACATGATAAAACTACTGGGGTTGACTTTTGGGTACAGCAAAGTGATGTTTGTTAATGTGCTGCAGCTTCTAGTGGGCACTGCCCTGCTGGTCCTCTCCTGCTTTTGCCAACACCCTCCGCAGTCACAGTCCATCAGGGCNCTCCGCAGTCACACTCCATCAGGGCCTTTCCAGCCTCTGCATCCGCCTCTCTCTCACTGGCCAAGCTGAGAGCCGATACAGATAAAGCCCGGGACCCACTGAGACAACTGGGGCAGATCCCCGGGACCCCTGTGCGCGCTAGAGATTAGGGAGCGCGGCTCTAACAGACAAACCGGCTCCACTGTTCTTTCCTATTACTGGCCCAGCCTGATTTATGTGTGATTCTTTAGCCGAAAGAGTCAGACTCTGTGGTGGGGGTGGAGGAGCCAACCACCTGGATGCTGGAGATAAAGTGGGTCCAGGCACAGCCTGAATTCCTGGTGTCACGGCCTCAGGCGCGGTGGGCAGTGCGGGGCAGCTCTTTGGCTGGGCATCGCCTGTGCACACACCCAGAGGCCTGTTTGAGTCCTTGGCCCTGGGTGTCTTCAAACTTGGTCACTTGTTCAGGTCACAGAAGTGGCAGGTGCCTGTGGGCATCAGCAGTAGGAAGCAGGAAGTGTCACCAGGGACACCTGGTTGAGAGGGCTCTGGGGAAGTCCTGTGGAGGGTTGGGTTTGGGGAGGCAGAGGAGGGGGAGGCGTGATGACGGAGGCGGAGTGGGAGTGGCAGGTGAGCACCCTGTAGGGTGCCGCAGCCAGCAAGGGTGGAGGTGGGAGGCCTGTGCTCCACCCACTCTGTCCCCTGGCTGTGTGTGTGTGTGACCTTAAGCAGATCGCTCCAGCTTTCTGACCCTCAGTTTTCACATCTGCAAAATGGAAACACACTTCTCCTCCACTAGGTGGCTGAGTGTTAGCAGGACGTGGGGGATCAAAGCCCAGAACAGTATCTGGAGGATGAGGCTCCATTTCAGCTGTAGGTTGGGAGCAGTTGAAGGAGGTCAGCAGAGGATTTCAGATTTGACAGTGGGAAGGGAACAGGGTGGCCCGTGGCTGCTGGCGCTGGGCGGGTAGGGCTGCACTTTCAGGGTGAGGCCTTCATTCCGGAGAACAGTCTCGGCAGCAAGCAGGCTTCCCCCCTGTCGTGTGCCTGACCCTTGTGCCTCTCTTCTCACCCCAAAGTAATTACTTTAGTGAGCAGATCCTTTGTTAAAACCCTGGGCAGTTGAGGGAGGATCATAAACGGGCATAATGAGGTTGATGGATGTGGTGCGTGGCCACTGTCACGCAGGTCAAAGTTGGTTTGCTCACTGGGGTCCCCTGTGTAGGACAGAGAGGCCGGTGGCTCCTGGGCTTCTGTGTGGTGTCCTAGCTTCTAGCCTAAGAAGGGTCTGCGCGCTGACTCCCAGAATCCTGAAGAAACCCTGTGTTACTTGGATCGTGCTGGTTTTAAAGACTTTCCTCAAGACTTTGGCTCCTGATGTTGAAGTTGGAAGTGTTTTGAACCTTTCTAAACATGACCACTTATTTTTCTTTGTCTCTGTTTTGGGCGAGCTAAGGCTCCTGGAATTCCATCTTTTAGAGTGGCCACAACTTGGGACTGCAGCAAGAATGACCCACACCGAGAGAGTCTATCTGTATGTCCAGGGAAACCTCTGTGATGGGGGCTTTCTGAGCACAGTGGTAGAGGCTTACTTGGGGGGAGCACACCTAGGCAAGCACACCTCCCTTGGAACCGGATCCTTGCCTTTGTGAACCCCCTTCCATCAGGAGGCGTTGGGGGTTGTTTGGGTTGTGGGAGGTGAAGGTGCACAGTCTGGTGAGGGTAGAATGCAAGCTCTGGGGGTGCTGGTTGGGGCTGTGCCAGCTTTTGGGGTGGGAGTGGGGGAAGGGCACTGGCTCAGCTGCAGTTAGCACTTGGAGCTAGGGCTTCTAGGACAGTGTTTTGTTGTTCCTGTTTGTTTCCCCTTCTCCTTCTGGAGGCTCAAGACAGTGGGGTGATTGCTGTGGGCCTCACTGTGGGGTCACACTACCCTGCCTGGTGCCTGGTCCCCATCAGGACTGCCCAGGTCAAGGGCCACTGGAATGAATCTGGGGAAGGTTGCAGAAAAGCCTCGCAGCCGGGCTGGGAAAAGGGCATCCCAGCCCTTTTCCTCCTGAAGTCATGGCTGACCCTTTGGCTGGGGGCAAACCCCGGCCGACTGGGCAGGAGTTCACACTCATGATCTTCATTCACATTCATGGTGGCCCTTGGCTGTAAAGCCCGGGACCTGACACCCAACGAGCTGCAGGACTCTCAAGCTCACCCAGCTGGGAAGGTCCGAAATCGGGTTTAAACGCAGCTTTGCCTGGCTCTTTGGCTGTGCCGAGGAACCGGAGTCTTCCATCCCCGTCTGAAGGAGGAGGTGAAGGTACGAATGGGGCTCCTGCTCCGCAGCACTAACTTGGGGACAGGCCCAGAGGCCTGTATGTAGAGACTGAACTCCGCTGTGTGCAGATAATATGCCCTCTCACTGAGCAGGGCCATGTGTTCCAGATGTTGTCCCCCCTCCACCCCAGGAGAAGCAGACACACATTAAGTGTTAATACCAGCTCAGGAGGAGGGGACTCACCAGCACCAGGGCCTGCAGGTGGCCTGGAGGGATAGGGCAAGGAGGAGGTCGGGCTGTGGAGTCCTGGTGTTATAGTGGGACAGTGAGGAGTAGGACGTGCACATGCTCGGGGAGCATTGCAGACCTCGGGTTGCTTTGGAGGCAAGGGGGCATCGCTGTGGGTGCCAGAGGAAGGGATAATGGGTGGGTGCTGCATACTTCTCAGGACAGGTGCTGTCTCCCTCAGCATTCTTTCTCCTGGCCCTCCCTGTGGCTGTCTTGGATTTTATTTGCTGTGGTAACCTCAGGGAGTTGGGGTGGGTGAGAGACTTGACAACTTTCGGTCAACAAATGCAGTTAAACTTCCTCTTAGAAATTTGGAGCGAGGTTTCTGGACTACTGGCGGATGAGAGGATTCGCATGCTCCCTGTCTAGGCTGACACAGCCCCTTTCTCCCTGCTGGTTCTCGGAAGGGGATTTGGGGGGAAAGCCTTGACCGAGTTTATGCAGTGTAGGCATGGAATTTAGAAGAGGGTGTATGGGGTCTTGCCGATGCAAACATCTTCAGAAGTTCCCTGTGGTCTCCAGACATGCCAGAGCTTAAGTGATGTGTCAGTCTGGTAGGCTCTAAAGCTGTGATTTCCAGCCCAGGTATGCCTGAGTCTCCTGGGGAGGTCTCTAATGACACAACACCCACACCCCTGCTTGGGTCCTGCAGTCAGCATCTCCTAATGGGGCCTGGGAATTTCTGTTTGAAAATGCATCTCTGCTCATATGGAGAGAACGTATTTGTCAGGATTTAGTTGCAGAAAAGGGAAGTCACTGCCACTCTTTTAAGCAGAAAGGACGTTTATACCAGGTGCTTAAAAGCCAAGGAGGAGCAGCCTCTGGGCGGACTCCAGCCCTCACCTCTGGCACAATCAGAATGTACTCAGGAGACCAAAAGATACTGCCGAGCTTCCGAACACATTGCTATGGCTTTGGTCTAGGGGTCAGGAAACCACAATTTTTGCTGGTTCAGCTAGTGGAACCTTTCCAGGAAAAGCCAGCATCTCCTGGTAGTACTGGGTGGCATTACGATTGTAGCCTACCATGGAACTGCTCCTGCATGCAGCTACCTGGTACAACCTAAGTCACACGCAGAAGCCCAGAT